TTTCCTACTGGGAAAGGGTTGTAAATGAAATTGGATGGAAGTCTCTAGATGGTGACATAAAATCTGAGGCCACATTGCCTGCCTGAATGGGTTGATATCCAGAGAAATGGTGCTGTGTTTTTACCCTCTCTTCATCTTTGAATGTTCCAGTGCTAATCAGACTTTGGGAGTACACTACTAGGTAGAACATCCTTGGTATTTTATTTCTTTATAAAACATATAAACAATAGCACTATAAAATTAGGTATGTAAACCGTAGCACCAGCTGTTGATGAACGTCTTAAGGAAGGAGATGCTGTAGTGTGGTTCTGGGTATAGAATCTGGAGCCGGGCTCCTAAATTGACATGTGGTTCTCCCATTTAATAGCCTTTTATTTAGCAAAGGCCTCAGTTTCTTCACTTTTGCAATGGGGATGATAATGCCTGTCTCCTGAGCGTGTGGGTATTCTACGCAGTCCTTAAGGTCTTGGAAGCACTTAGTTCATAGTAAGCATGCACAAAGGCTTCTTGCCAACATGAGAGGATTTTTTTTTAAGTTTATGGACAAATGGAATTAAAAAGTAATGAGATTTTCCCAAGAACTTTTTTAAACACCCGCCCCCCCCCTTGTATAATTGGTGATGAGGTCAATTGGTAATAAGTTGGGTTTTTTTTAAGTAAAATTTAATGGTCTTAGAAATTTAAAAATAATTTCACCTTTTTATTAGCTTAAAGGCATTTGATGAAAAGCATGATATAAATTAAGAGCAAATATATTGGTTACAGAAGGCGATCTAATATATTCTCTGTGCACTTGATGTTTTTAATAGGATATTTTTTTATTTGTAATTTGGTGTTTTTATCAGGTTCCAATGCTTGAGTAAATCATCTTAATAAATTCAACTAACTTTTAAATTGAATCAGTAATTCTCGCCCAAAGAATCTGTAGCTCCCCTCTCCTGGGGGCACTTGTCACTCTGGGAGAAATTTTTGGTTATCGCCGTGGAAGTAGTGCTACTGGCACCTAGTGGGTGCAGACAGCGATGCTGCTGAGCGCCCGAGGTGTAGGAGAGCCGCTTCCAACAAAGGACCATCTGGCCCCAGATGCCAACCATGCAAAGGTCCAGAAACCCTGGGTTAAATCATGGAGCTAATCTGTTGGTACTTTTGATACTTCTTTCTGATTTATACAAAATTTACAAGGAGTTGCAATCGGGTTTTTTGATAGAATTTTTTAAGCCACTGTTCTTGGTATGTATTAAAATGAGAACTACAACTCAACACTGTCATTTTATTGCAGATGAACCCACACGATCATTGAGTGGTCTTATCTTGAAGAATAATGTGAAAGCACACTTTCAGAATTTCCCAAATGGTGTAACAGACTTTATTAAAAGTGAATGTTTGAATAATATTGGTGATGCTTCTCCTCTGATTAGAGCCACTGTAGGTAAGTTCACCAGTTCAGCTTACCTTTTTGTAACTACTTGTTTTCAGATGTGGCAGAATTCTTCCATAGGAATGTTTGTTCTTTTAGCCATTTCATGTTGAATTTGTGGTGAAGAGTAAATTGTGCGTGCGCGCGCTACTTACATGCTTATGAAATAATGTTAGAGTTGTGGTAGCTGCCATCGAGTCTGTTCTGATGCATGGTGACTTGTGTATAACAGAGTGAGATGTTGCCTGCTTCTGCACCATTTTCACTGTTGTTTGTTTGCTCGAGTTCATTACAACCAGTATATGTTTAGTGTTTCTAACAGAGGGGCTTGTCTTCCAGCAGTATATCAGAGAATACTCGGCTGTGGTCCTTGGGGTTTGTATTTGTATTGGTTAGTTTTTGAAAGTAGACCTTCAGGCCTTTCTTCCTAACCTGTCTTAGTATAGAACCCTGTGCACCATGGATGACCCTGCTGGTATTTGAAATGCAGTGGCCTAGGTTCAAGTATCATAGCCAGATAAAGGCCGCCACAGCACAACTAAGCGATGGGTGGTAGGCAGTTAAAGTCAAAGCCTATAGTTACCCAGGCTGGCCAGGTCTAAATCAAAGTTGGTCAGATAGAGCATCGAAAAGGGATGTGAACCTTAAGAATTTTTGTAAATTTAGGATCAGTCTTCTTGAGTACAGATTAGGGAATTCCTTTTTGTCTTTGTACTTTTCATAATGTGTGGCCATTTCACTTATTTTTATGTGAAAAGAAAAACTTAGTGAAGCATTGTAAGTATAGAACTCCAATAATGTCTAATAGCTGCTTTAGCTATATCTTATCCAGCATCAGTTTTTGAGTCTTTAGAGCATTCAGTTTATTTTCTATGAACAACTATCAATTTATGTAATGTTCATTGGTTAATTTTAATTCACTGCCATCAAGTTGATTCTGACTTAGAGTGAGTTGACCCTATAGAACTGCCCTTGTGAGTTTCCAAGACTCTCTACTGATCAGAAAACCTTATCTTCTCCCTTGGAGTGGCTGGTGGTTTCAGACTGCTGACCTTGGGGTAAGCAGGCCAACATGTAGCTCACTACACCACCAGAGTCCCTAAGCCCCTACTTTAAGTATAATTGGTGTGAACTGGTTTGGGGTAAACAGTTAGCGGTGAGTGCACATTGACAGAAATAGAAATAACAAGTGTGCTATGGCATGGTGTACTACTGGCCAGAATTCAGGATACAATTTTCTATAAGGAGCCTAGTTAAGAGGAAGTGATTATGAACTCCATAGTGACTTAACATCTTATTTTTTTAAAAGGGATGAGTGATGATGACATACATGAATATAACTTTTTTATTGCTTTGTGACACAATAGAATCTAAAAAGTTCCTGCCTTCGTTGTTTTTATTGTACACTGAGATGTTTTTGTTGTAAGAAGCTATTGCAGTTTTGAGTAGAGAAACAATGAAATTTTTGTATTATTTCACTAAAAAATTTTGGAGCTGCAAAAATACTTAGCAGTATATTTCCACATAAAACAACTGTAAGGATGTAAATATGAAGTGTTGGTAGAAATGTAGATGAAACAAGATTGACCATGTTTTGATCAATTGTTATTAAAGCTTGGTGATTACCTTGTGTATGAGTTTGTAATTTTTGGTCCAAAGAATTCGTTGCCTTTAGGTGAGGTTCTCCAGAGAACGAAAACCAGTAAAGTTGTGTGTGTGTGTGTGTGTATATACACAGAGAAGGGTTAAGTGACGTTAAGTCAAAGAAGTGACTTAAACAGTTGTGAAGGTGGGCAGGTTCCTAGTCCCTGGGTCAGATGTCATGCTATGGGCGTCTTCTAACTCAGGCAACTGTAGGGGCTGATGAACCCAAGATCGGGTCAGGTGATAGGTGTCTGGCTGCACAGGTGAATGAATCCTGGGTCAGCAGATGAGAGGCAGGCTGCTGACAATTCCTAGGATCAGCAAGCCATGTATAGGCCATCTTCTCAAGTGCAAAGAACCACAAATTTGATGACAAGCCAGATGCATAATCTAAAGCCCACTGACATGGAGGGGATTTTGACTCATACCAACCCTGCTTAGTGTTTCTGAGGCTGTAATATTTACAGGACCAGATAGCCTCATCTTTCTCCTGTGGAGCTGTTGGTGTATTTGAACCTCCGACCTGTGGTTATCAGTCAAGCACTGACCCGACAATGCTACCAAGGCAAAGTGCTGGGTCTTGATCTGAGCAAGATCCAGACTTGGCAAAAAATCATGTAAGCTTTTCCATAGGGTCCACTTAATTGGGAGCAAGCCACATTCCTGATGAAATCTTATCACGGGATTACTAGGTCTTAACTGCCAAACCACTGAGAGCCCTACCTAGCCCAGTCAGATTGGCATAAAAACTGTCACCTGTAATATAGCTACATAAAATGAAGCTTAGCATGAAATGGCACGTTGGTGACACCGTGGGTTGCGAGTTGGCCTGCTGAATTAGCTTACGTTGATTCAAAACAGAACTTAGTTTTGCTCCTCTTTTTTTGCATGTGGACTAAAGAAGGTACTGAAAAGCACAACTAACATAAAATCGTAACTACCTCCCAAAGAGTGGGGAAATTCTTTGGGGACCATCATGTCAAGATTCTAAACTATTTGATGATGAACACATTTATGATTTCTAATAAAGATAAATTCTTTGGGCTCAGGAAAGTTAATGAGTTTTAAACCATTGGTACTTTCCAGTCAAGTAAATTTGGGAAGAAGGCTCCTTTTCAATCTATTCAATTGGGTAATTTAAGCTATGTGAAGGTGTTTAAAGATTTTAAGAAGATACTTTTAAAATGAAATACTATATGTTCCTGGAATGCATCTCTAAGTATTGAGAACTGACTTCATCACTCATTAACCTTAACACAGTAGTCTTGATGGCAGTTTAAACCTCTTAGCTGCTCCTTGGGTAAAAAATAAGGTTGTCTGTGTCCATAAAGATTTCAGTCTAGGGTCACTATCAGTTGGGATCCTTGATGGTAATAGGTTAGGGTTTTATATTTGTTTTAAACGGATCAGTGTAAAAAGTGGTGTGATGGGCCACATCTGACCAACATCCCTCCCCGACCCCGCTGATTGCCACAGGGCAGAGGTCAGATATGCCTCTAGCCCTCTTTATCCTGTTCTGATACCAGCAATCTTTATGGCACTGTAGTTCTGCGCCTGGGTTCTATAGTCAATGCAGTGGACACACAGTTCACAAGTGTTCGTGATTATGGCTTTTATTAGGGATGTGAACAGGTTACAATTTGAGTGAGAAATGCTCAGGACACAGTGAGTCCTTATCTGTCAGGCCTTTCTCTGGCCCTCAGCTTCTTGACCTGGCTTCTGCTCTACTCCAGCAATGTTACAGAGCTCTTTTAGGGGTGTTAACAAATGCCCAAAGGTCATGCCGCTTTGCCGCAAGCCTCCACCTAAAGGCATTCAGCTGCAGCTCCATGGATCAACAAACCCAGCTTCCTCAATTAAGTGGCCCAGAGGCACCCCACTCCACAAGCCAGCCTCCTGCCCCAAAGCACTCAACCTTAACTTGCCCTGTGGGCTGGGCATCCACAGCATTGTACTCTGACTCCTGGTTCTGCTGCTGCTCTGTCACTGTTACCAAAGACGTGTCCTGGATCAGAGGTTTAAAGCACTTTGCTTTGGATGATTTGAGATTTTCTCTCCTGCTTTTGAGATGACTCATTTCATACTCCTTAGGATGGCAGTCACATTGAACCCTGTTAGCAGTCAACCACATCTGAATCATATAATCTGGTCAGTATATTCCCACTCACCTTACCCAGGCCTATCAGGAAAAGGAAAGTTGTTTTTAATATGCTGATTAACATCCTATGCGGCACTGGACAACCCAACAGTTAGAATGATCTGATCTATAATGTCCGTAGTGCAAAGGTTAACAAAATTTGATTTAGAGGAATAGTAGGGACCGACCTACTTAAACTAATAATGTAGTACCAATCCCTTTGCTATGCAATTAACTGCAGGTGGGACCACTGTAGGGCTTTCATGGGCTCATTTCCCAAAATAAATTGCTGAGTCTTTCTAGCCCTCCTTAGCTTAGAAGCTCAGCTGAAAGCTATTCAGCATCATCACAATATAGAACTACAGCTGACAGAAGGCTACTTGTGACGTGCCTTGGCCAGAAATTTGAACCCAAGACTCATGCTTAAGGCAGTTCACGTGATTGAACTCAGATGGGAAAATCCACTAGCTCCCCACTGCCCTGCAGTTGAAAGAAACAGCTCACATGCTAGGTTCTTGTTAAATAGGCATGCTTTAAATTAGCTGGAGGCTCATTGGATACACAGTGCTGACCCAGAGCTCAGGACTGCAACTGGCCCCACCGAGGACTGTGGCACCCATTCCTACCAGCATGAAGGAGAAATGAACTCGCCCTAGGGGGCAAGATTAGGTGGACCGGCACAGGGGGGAATTGGCTTGGGAGAATTTGAGCTTCAGTTTTCCAGAGTTTAAAGGAAGAGATAAAAGCCTGCTTGTCAGCTCACAACCCGAGGGTATTAATTTAAAGAGAGCCCAGACCCAGCTTTGATATTCAGAATCAGTGTAGCCAGCTTGGGTGGGCAGGCAAAGTGCTTTGGATATTGCCTTTACTCCCTCTTCAGGACAGTTATTAGTCGTTGGCCTACCTACACACTCCCTGAAAAGCACAGGAGCTTATAGGAGACCAGGACCTCAGTTAGGGCAGTGTGTAACTTTCCTGTTATGAGCCCCTGCTTGGAATAGGCTATAGCTATACCACCCTAGTCTCCCTTGTCTCTTCAAGAACTAAAGTGCACAAGGGGTGCTGTTCACTCCAGAGACAAGTACAGACATCATGTCTCAGAGACAGCAGCCAATCCCTGCACTTGAGAAAACAAGATGGCGCAGTCACCTGGGAAAGCACAGATCTCGCTGCAAAGGATGTCGGAGCTGAGCCGACACTTATAGAACAAAACAGAATAATTCAAGCTATAGAAATACAAATCTGTGATCTCATAGACAAATATTTCTAGACCAACATACAAGATCAGTCTATAAAAATCAAAAAGGTTGAAGAATATGTCAGAATTCTATGGGACACTATTAAAAATTAAAATGTTCCAGGACAGGAACTAAAGACGGAGAAACTAGTTCAAGAAATAATAGAAGAGAACTTCCCTAGCATTATAACAGAACGGAAAACAACCATCCAAGAGGCCTAGAGAACCCCAAATAGAATTGCCCCCCAAATAAAATCACCTCAGCACATCAGAGTCGCTTTCTAAAATTAGTCTCCTGTGAATGACAGAAAAAAATAATCACCTATAAGGGCAAACCAGTAAGAATAAACTCAAATTTTTCAATGGAAGTCACGTATGCAAAAAGACATTGAATAGATTTCCTAATGGCTTGGGTAAATCACTGCCATCGGGGGATGCTGACTCATAGTGACCCCGTAGGACAGAGTACAACTGCCTCTCTCCCTCCCCCGCCCCCATTTGAGACCTAATCTTTTTTCCCAATAGTATTGGTATATAATTTACATATCCTACAATTCAGTAGTTCAGGCACGTCAAGAAGAGTGTGCAGTCAGTCTTAGAACATGTTCTTCATTCTTGTGCTCATTATTATTTTATAAATCATTTTGTTGGGGCTCTTACAACAATCCATACATCAGTTGTAGCAAGCACACTGCCATCTTAATTTTCAAAACATTTTCTTTCTACTTGAACCCTTGGTATCAGCTCTTTTTTTCCTTCCTTCTCCCACCCTCCTGACCCCTTGATAAGTTATAAATTCTCATTTTCATATCCTATACCATCTGCTGTCTCCCTTCACCCACCTTTTTGTTGTTCTCCCCCTCGGGGGAAGAAGGGTTGTTATACATCAATTATTGTGATCTTGCTCATCATTAGCTCTCCATCCCTCTGCCTAATTCCCTTGCCATTAATCCAGTTACTCTGTAGATTCCATATACAGAAAAACATCAAAAAACAATAACAAAGTAAAACAAAAACTTCAGTGAAAAAGAAAATACTAAAAACTAGGACAAATTTAAATGAATCATAAGGTAGTTCAAATGATAGAATGCTAAATTTTAACTTAACTGTATCTGGAACAGTCCACTTTCCAGTGCATTCTACATGGCACATCCCTGGTCCACGGTCCGAGGGGCTCAATCCGTATGTATTTTCCTTTGCTTTTGTCTTAAACGGAAACATCCTTAAAATGGGTCTAAAAGGAGATCAAATGATAAGTTACTGCATTTTGACTAACTGTGGCTGATAATAACACTTCAAATCCCTCAGCTGTGATCGGAGGGAATTCACTGGAGGCTAAATCCATGGATTGACCCGGCAAGTGGACATTGGACTTCTGCTGTCATCCGTAGCCGCTTGCAAACCAGGTGTTCACAGTTTAAACTCGGGTGCCATTCCCTCCTGTAGCTTTTTATTATTTACAGTCCTTGGATCACATAGGCTGCTGGTGTGCTGCTTCCATTTGCACCTCTCTTACTTCGATAGCTGCTTATTTGGAAACAAACCTTCAAAGACCCCACACACGACTCTTTGTGATAGCTGGGCAAGTCTGGCTGCTGCTTCACATTTTGCCACAGCATCCTTATCTTCAGTGATCTCTTCACGAGGGCGAGCATCTGACAGGGCCATGTCATAAGAACTTCTTCATAGCGACTAAAATAAGTGCAGGCCTAAAATCCATTCATGTGTCTGTGGTTTATAAGTCTCTGGTTCACCTTAGAGACATCATTGTGGTTTCATGTTGGAGTACATTATCATCCTCCTGGGGCATCACTTCCTCTTCATGCGTATTTAGACCAAGATGGAAGGTAATTGAAAAACAGTAGCTTCACATTTTGATATTTTCATTTAGTGTGGAAGTTTTTATATTAATGTCAACATAACTTTTTGCTACATTTTTGTGTATTGATTAAAACTAATTCAACTAAAGTGCCAAACCCACTTGGAATTATTTAGGTAGTCAAAGCAACATGCTCAGTCAGCATGTACTCTTCATTTTCTACAGTGAGCTTCATTCTGACCCCAGGAAGTAGGAACTGTTGTAGAAGTGTATTGCCCATCCATGTGAAGGAGGGTTAAAACCTTGAATACGTAGCATTGGTTTTTATTGGTCATCAGGTTTATAGTCAACTACCATGGTCCATAGCTGTAATCATAGATTAAATCAAGAAGCTAGCAGGTCTTCTGAGAATGTATCTTTTATTGGACTAAAAGGATTCATAAATTCAACACCCAGTGCTACTAACATTTTGGTATTTTCATCCTGTGTTTTTTCTATGTAGGTTTTTGTTTTTTAATCTGGATAATTTTTATAATAGAGCTATCCTTTCATCAAGTGTGCTTCAAAAGATCATGGAAATTTTCCATGGTCTTTTCCATCTACTTTTTGAAACTCCCTCATTTCTTTGAGAAGAGCAGAGTATAGTTTTTGGTATAAATAATTTCATTTTCAAAATACATAGAACAAAGTGTTAGGAAACAAGATTTTATGTTCTGAGTTTTCTACAGCTGAAGTACTGTGATGTGGGCTGGAGGTGGTTGTTGATATAGGTTGCTCGTTGGACTAGTAACTGTAGAGTCAGTACTTCAAACCCACCAGCTGATCCTCAGAAAGATGCGTTCTCTCTGTCCTATAGGGCCCTATGAGTCTTAATCTCATCGATGGCAGTGAGTGAGTTCTTTGGTTCTTCGCATTGGTTTGATTGATTTGAGAGATAAAAATTTGTGCACACTTTGGTGACTGTCTTACATAATGCAATCGAATTTCCTTAAAATGGGTGTTTTCTTTCAAGGAATTTTGATTACAACTATAGCCTCCAAGGGAGAATTACAAAATTGGCCTGACCTCTTACCAAAGCTCTGCAGCCTGTTGGATTCGGAAGATTACAATACCTGTGAGGTAAGGCGTTTTCCCTTACTGCATGTGTAACTTCCTTTCCTGCTTTTCTTGTCATTTTGGGCATTAGCAACCTTAGGGGAAATTTTTTCTCAAACATAATTTCAAAATAGTAAAATCCTAAAGTTGCCTTTGTGTCTTAAATTGTGATTATTTTACTATTTTGTATAGGAAGACTC